AAATGTATTCTATTTGATGTCAGTAGGCTTGAGATGACATAACAGGGTTTTGAGGTCCATTTAGGAACTTCTGGGTTGAATGCGGTCACGTGCAGGTTTCTCTAGGATGTTAATGCACCGGTGGCTCTCCGAGGAGGGGAATAGAGAAGGCTGCATGTCTCAGAGTGCTGGACCATGGAGCCCTCTGGGGAAAGTTCTCGGGGCCACCTTGCCTGGAGGCTGGGGAGTGGGTGAGGTCTGCCAGTGGGTGTGACTGGCTGACAAGCCAACGGTTCAGTCACTTTGGGTCTTCGGTTTCCTTACACATCCCCCAGCGTTTGGCAGTGGGGGCAGGAGGGCCTGGAGGGCCTGGTTCAGGCGCGCAGAAGCAGCACCATGGGCTGACCAATTGTAGGGATCCCTCAGGGGTAGAGAAGCAGAGGACTGTGGACTGGCTTTCCCCAAAGCCACTGCTGGAGCCGTAGGTTCCATTTTAGCCGATTTCTGGCCCGACCCCCACCCCTGGCTCCAGCCCCATGAGACAGTGAGAGAAGCTAGACGGCAGAATTCTGTCACCTGCTCTTAAATGGTCTGGCCTGACGGAAGTTCACATCTCCCTTTGCTGGATGAATGATGGCTCAGCCTTCCCCAGGGATTCCTCATGTCCATTTACGGGCATATGCTGTGTGTCTCAAGCTGCAGGATAAGACCAGAGTTCTTTGCTTACAGTTTACAACCTGGGTCAAGAGCTAGTGTCAGGGAGAGCTCTGGGGAGAGGGATTTCCAGCTGCCTGTTGGCTATGAGGAGTGTGGGGCTGAGGAGAGAGGGGGCGATGGGCCTGGGTGCCCCCTGGACACCTTGGGGAGAGCTGGGATGCGGTCAGCGGCAGTGCTCATGAACATCGGCAAGAAGCTATAGTAATGTGCCGTTCCAGGGAATGTGGCCAGTGAGAGCCTGTGGCAGTATGTGACAGCATGGAGCTCACATTGGTGAGGCTGACACTACACGCTGCACAATTAGAAGCAGCCAGGCTTTAGGAAGGAGGCACAGGAGATGCCCCCTGGCAACTTACCATTTCTGTTGCATGTTGGATTTGGGGAGTATAAGGCTCTTTGTATAATATCTAGATAATAGATGGCCGTCAGCAATCTAACTGTTTGAATGAACACATCGTGGTCCTAGAAGGGAAAGCTCTGTGTCGCTTCATGGAGGAGCATCGGGCACTTCTGACAAGGTCTCCTGCTCTGCTGATCCACAGAGGGCAGAATTGGTGCAAACAGGTAGGCCAAGGGCCAGGAGTGCCCCCAGGCCCAGAGAGGAACCAGGGCCCTTGAGAAGGCAGACAGTATTGCCCACAGCTGATATTCTGTGGCTACTTCAAGCAATTCAACTTATTAATTCATTCAACAGCCTCCATCAGGGCTACTGTGTGGGGAAAGCTTCTGTAGTCTATTTCAGAGCCACACTTTTCTCTAGGGAGCTGCCTGATACTGATACAATGTGCTGCTGCTTGTTCAAAACAAATAACAGAATTCCATGTTTAACCACACTATTTTATGTATCTGCATATAATGAAAATGTAAGTGATATGAATTGGTTCACAAACTCAGGATGAAAATTAGCAGATATAAACAGAAAACCCAGTGCCTCTTTGTTGCGGGTCACTTACCCTAAATTTTCCAAAAGGCTTGCGGACTCAGAGTTCCCAGGGGGAGTTGTAACTGGGAGTTCAAAAATCCGCACTCAGGCAGTCACCACCCGAATTTCATCAATCTGACACGCCATTGCTCCTCGCTGCCACACGGTGGCGCCCTTATTGCGGGTCACTTACCCTAAATTTTCCAAAAGGCTTGCGGACTCAGAGTTCCCAGGGGGAGTTGTAACTGGGAGTTCAAAAATCCGCACTCAGGCAGTCACCACCCGAATTTCATCAATCTGACACGCCATTGCTCCTCGCTGCCACACGGTGGCGCCCTTAACAACCAGTTCTGTCCCAGTGACCCGAGGAGGGATTCGTTCCCTCGCGCTGACCCGGCCCCGCCCAGGCTTCTCCGGATATTTGAGCGAGAAGGATCCACAACTCAGGTTTTCTAAGTTCAGGCAAGCGGGCTCCTCATCAAGTTCCCAGGCGTACAGTTCCTGGCGCTTGACCAGGTCTGATTACACCCCAGTTCCTGCCTTCCCAGCAGTGGAACATCACGGCCACCTTCCTAAGACCCTCAAGGACATCACCTACCCAGGGACGACCAGCGTGACCCGCGGCGCCTCCCCACCTGAGCAGGAGCTCAATGCAGCGCGCTGATTTGAACATGCGATGGGACATGCCCTCCAACAAGCACCATAATTTAATTAGATGCTTTCATTAGGTCGGAGCAAGCCCCTGTGGTCTTGCCGTTCCAAGGTGAAGCCACCAAGAGAAATCCCGGGACAGGTGCAGGAAGACCGGTGAAGAAGGAAGGGCACCGTCGATTGTCGTTAATTAGTTCAGGAATTTACTAACTGTGGAAACCTGGGCAAGTAACTTAACCCTTGTGAACCTTAGGTTCCTTACCTGTAAAACTGGATGATAGTAGCACCTGCCTCACGAGAATGGTGTGGAGTTAAATGGGATGATTCACGTAAAGTGCCTAACACAGTGCCCTGGACATCACAAATAATAAACGATAGCCACTCTATCCCAGCACCCAGAGCTGTCCCTAGTATATAGGAGGCCCTCAGTAAATGTGTGTTGAGTGAATGACTCTCACACCTCTTAATGATAACCTACTGCAGGGTGTCCCTCAGCTCCTGGTATGGGGTGGAGAGCTCAGTGGTACAAATACACACAATAACATTGTGTTCTCACCTCTGCCTCCTGCCAGGTTATCTGTTCTTTTTTAACAGTAAAGACAGAACTGGTTCAAGAAATACACAGTCAAGCTGTGAGGTTTCTTGTTTGAGTCATTTTTTGAATGGTTTTATGAAAAAAATATAAATAGTATGTGAGGAAAATGAATATTAAATCAATACATATAGGTATTAAATTGTATTTATGAAAATTGTCATCAGATAAAAACTTCTGACTTGATCAAATTAAATGCAAACAAATAAGGATCATGGGGCAGAGCAGAGCCTGGATCCCATATCTTTCAAATACAGAGCATTGATAGCAAACAATTTTCAGCACCTATTATGTGCCCAGCCCTGGGCAAGGAACTGAGGGGCATTACCTGAGAATAAACTGCCAGCCCCTGCCCTGGTGGCTTGCAGTCTGGTTGCAGATTCAGAACTTAGGTCCTTGACAGCCAGTGCTGGGAGCTGCAGTGCTCAGGGCACCAGCGCAGGCAAGGAGCTCCCTCAGAGGACGGCAGGAGGAGGGAAAGCAGAGGGCTGGGGAGAAGGGGAAGCGAGTGTGTGAGGTCAGGAGCCAGCAGACCGTCAGGCGGACACTGGTCCCCATGGAGCTGAGGGTCAGCTTGGAAGAGGTTTTCTAGAACCTTCCCATGAAACAGCAGGGAGCGCCCTAAGGCTGCTGAGCAGGAGTGGTGTGTGGGTTGTCCGGATGCCTCACACTTTGCATTTCACTTTCAAGAGCAGATGCAAGTCTCCGTGACCTTAGAATCACTGCTGATTCTGGTTTCGCTCAGCATGGAGGGCAGAGCTAGGCTGGGAACAGACTTGGGACTCAAATAAGGACAGAGATGGGAAGGTGCCGGAGACTCAGGCATCTGGGTTAGTCCCTGACCCTCCATAGTCTGGAAGAGAGCCAGCAGCCCCTTCAGTCTCCCAGAAGTCTTGCCCAGTGTCCGAGGCCTCATGTTACCCCGTCACTCTCCATGTGGGAAGTGCACCTTCATTCCATAAATCCTGAGTTCATCCACGATGAGAAGGACTGTAATAGAGAAGTGTGACAAGTGCTAAGATGGCATTTACAGGACACTGTGGGCACACAGAGAGGGGAGTGGAGATGACGCCCAAGTTGAACCTGATAACCCCAGGTGATGAGGGCTGATGGCACTTAAATTCAACGCAGGCTGATCATTTCCAAGATAACAGCTTCTTGGAGTCTGGGAAAGGCTGTGTGTAACTTAGTCCTGCCCGCACGAGCCCACCTTTCTACCTAACGCTTTCTCTCAGTTATTCAACAAGTATTTCTACAGCACCTGTTACATGCCAATTGCTGGGCCAGGCCCTGGGCACAGAGAGGTGGGAGAAGAGACAATATTTGTTAAGGGACAGAAGGATAAACCCAGGACGGCTGGGAGGGGGTGTCCCGCAGCCGTGTGGACAGTGGAGACTTTGGTAACTGGCTCCCCACTGGCGGGGGGCTTTGAAACCCATAGAAACACCAGGGTTCTTGGAATGAAAGAATCATTTCCTTCAAAAAGAGTCAGGTGGGTGGCTGGCCTGTGGTTGCCACTGGGATTACTACTGCGGATTCAGTAAGTAGGTTTTGAGACGGTCGGCATTTTTCACAGGCCAGGCCCAGGAGGTAGGTGTCTTTTGGTGTATCTTGAGAATCCCATTTGAGTCTCATGTATTATTAATCTCCTGTGAGGAATGTCATAATTATCTCTGTGTGTGGAAATCAGCCCTCGGAGAGGGCATCCAACTAACGGCGGACGCAAGACTTGAACCTGCCCTGTGCCTGTTCCCTTCAGCAGCTACGCCGCCTCCCCTCAGGGTGCTTACAGTCACGTCTCAGGGTGGGCTGACCCCATAATACGAGGCTTTCCGAACTGACACGTCCTCTCCCCCTCTTTAGAGAACTTTCTCTGCTGTACCTGGGGCATGCTCCTAACGGCAGCCATCAGTTCCCGGCCCTGGGCAGCAGGGTTCCCACCAGTGGGACGGGCCCAGGCTGGGCTGCAGGAGGCGGCAGGGGGCCGAGGCCTGGTGCCCTGCGGGTGGGCCCCGCAGAAGAGGGCGAGGACCCCGCAGCTCTGCAGCGCCCCAGGCTGGATGGGGGCCCGCTGCCCCGCCGCGTCGCCCGGGTTAGGGAGACCGGAGGAGCCACCCCGAAGGGCAAAGGGCCGCCCTGATGAGTCCTGGTAGCGGGGCTGCGCCAGCGACGTGGCTCGTCCTGGTGGTCAGAGCAGAGCCGACGCCCCGCAGGGACGGTTCAGGAGGGTCCACGGGCCCCATGAGCTGCATCTTCTGCCTGGCGCTGGTGGACCGGAGGCCCAGGGCGGGCTGCCCGGACCCCCCTCCCGGGCAGGCGGCCCCGGCCGAGCCCCTGGGCAACGCGCCCCTCCTGCTGTACCCCGGCCGCGCCGAGCCGCCCTTCCCCGGCGCCTTCGGGGTCCCCGACTACCCCTTCGAGCCCGCCCTCACCCAGCAGCGCAAGGAGCGCGAGCGGCGGCGGGTCAAGCGGGTCAGAGAGGGCTACGCGCGCCCCCGTGGCCACCTCCCCGGCGCCCGAGTCGTCCGAGGCCCCCTCGCCGCCCTTCGAGTCGGAGGAATCCAGCCCCTGATCGGGCCCGTGGCCGCCCGGGGGGTCCGCGGGGCCGTCCCTCTGCAGGGTGCAGCCGGGGGGCCGCAGGGTCAGCCGCGGCGCGGTGCGGCGCTCCCAGCCGGCGCCACCCTCCCTCCGTCCCCCAGTGCCACCGCCGGCCGCGGGCCTTCCAGCTTGGGGCGGGTGGACGGCAGGGGATTCGAGGGCCCCGCAGGGATCGGGAGCCCCGTTCGGGCAGCGCGCGCGCCGCGCCCCCTCCGGGCCGCAGGAGGGCAGCCTGGGACGGTCATTCCGGGTCCAGCTCCGGCCATGCGCCGGCTGTCCACGAGATGGCCGCAGACACCAGCATCCTCTTGGGGAGCCTGGGGGCCACCGCCGCAGCCCCACCCGGCGAGGAGCCCGGAGGGTGAGCTGGGAGGCCGGGCCGCCGCTGGCGCTCAGTCCCGACGCGACCACAGACTCGGGAAGAGGCCGAGCGTGTTCCCTGGCGGCGCTCTCGGCTTTCGGGGGGACGGCAGTTACCCACCCTCGCCCCCGCCCCGCAGTGGGGCCTTTCCCTTACTTCCGCAAGGGTGAGCGAGGACTGCGCTTTCTCGTCTCAGGACTGCAGGCCTCCGTTGACAGCGCGACCACAGGCCGTTGGCGCTGATTTGCACTGAGCGGCTGAAGAAGGGCGAGTTCCCGGATTCCTGGCCCGCTGTCCCCCCACCTGCCCCGATGCTCTTCCTACTCCCGCTCCCATGGCCCGGCCCTCGCCGTGCGCCCGGGGGGTGTTCTGTTGGCCCACGCATCCAACACTTGCAGAGAGCTTGTCACATACAGGCAGTGCGCTGTGCAGGCGCCGCGCCCCAAGTGTGGGGGCCTTGTGCCCCGAGTGGCAGGTAGCACGCCCAGACCCGGGAAATGCAGGGGGAGGGAGGAGGCGTGTCCTGAGGGCCGCAGGTACTGAGATGGGCGTGGGGGTGGCTGAGCTCGGCCACCAGCACCTTCTCTGGACAGTGTCCTGGGTGAGGGGGTCTGGGGACGGGCGAATCCTGGAGGAGGGAGCCAGTCCGCGGCCCCCTGTCATGGGCTACCCCCTTGCTGAAGCCCCAGCCCCCAACCTTCCATCCTGTCTCCCACCTCCCCAATCCACGCCCATGTGTCAGTTCCTCCACCACTCCCTGACCAGCCCCCTAGGGGACATACTGGATGGCACTGACTGGGCTGGGAAGGAATGACAGCTGCCTGGCCTCGGGAGCTCGGGCTGGGCAGCAGGACGCCGAGAGGAGGCTAATTTTACCCACGGGGAGCAGGGAGAGTAATCCTCCTGCCCCCACCCTGGCTGGCCCAGCAGGCCCAGCAGGCCCAGTCGCCAAAGCGCAGGCACTGGGCACCCAGGGAGCGGAGGGCAGTGGGGTGGGGGAGCAGGAGAGGACGGAGCTGCCGGGGACGCCATGGAGCCACCCTCACCCCAGGACGAGGGCCTGAGGAAGAAGCCGCCAAAGAAGCCTGTCCCGGAGGTTCTGCCGAGGCCGCCCCGGGCCCTGCTCTGCCTGACGCTGCAGAACCCGCTGAGGAAGGCCTGCATCAGTGTCGTGGAGTGGAAGTATCCTTCAGGCCCGGCGTCAGGCAGCGGGTGCGATGGGGAGGGGGAGGCAGGGGCGGCCACGGCTCACTGACCCGGGGGCCAGGTGCTTGGGTGCTTGGAGATGGGGTGAACTTCCACAGAGGAGCCCTGGGGAAGGTGGCCCTCAGGCCTTCAGCTGACAGGGAGGGGAGGATGGGGCAGGGCAGGTGGGCTTCAGCCGCCGTGCCCGTGCCCGTGCCCACTGACCAGCTCCGGAAGGTGAAGGTGTGCCCCACCCACATCCCTGCCTGCTGGCTCCCCTTGGGATTTGGTGGAGGAGGGCGAGAAGAAGCAGTGCCTTCTGCAAGAAAATCCCCCCCGTTGGTGGGAGGGGGTAAAAGTTAAGGGAGAGCTCAGCGAGGGGTGTCCCAGTGGGGCTGGAGTTGGAGGGGGGTGGGCTTGGATGAGGGTCTGCTCTCAGCAGCTCCCACACAGGCCCGGCTTGTCAGCTCACACAGACCACCCTGGGGACGGGGACATGCCATCCCTCTCTGCGTTAGCTCTGGGAGAAGAATGACGAAAACATCTGGGTATTTGGGGAGGGGAGGAAGGAACTCCAGAGAGGAGGGGGCCTAGATCAAGGGGGCTGAGAGACAGCGTCGGGAATGTTTGAAATATTTCTGAACGATTGTGGAAGCCTGGGCTCCCGCCAGCTGTTCTTAGAAGCAAGGAGAATAAGGGATAATGGGCGGACAAGGAAAACACGGGACCAAGCCGGGCAGCTAGGGGCGAAATGGGCCCCAGCCGTGCTCAGCCGCAGGCGGCCCCAGCCCCCTCCCTGCCCCCCGGCCTCCCGCGAGATGGGGTGGCCTAGCTCTCGCCCCTCCTTGCCCGCTGCCTCCTCTGCCCTGCCCCCGCCCTCTTCTCAGACACTGGGGGATGCTGGGAAGAGAGCAGGGCTGTCAACCCAGCCCCTCTACACCGTGTACCTCCCACCCCTACCCTCCCCCCCCATCCTGCCACCCTTTCCTGCCCTCCTCTCCCTCCAGTTGGCGCCTCTGGTTGGCCCAAGGAGTGGGCCTGGGGGTGCCCTCTGGAGAATGACAGTGGAGGGCTGGGTGTGTCTGGGAGAGGGTGCGGGTGTGCACACGGCTTGGGCGTGGGAGCCCGTCCAGGCGGTGACCCATTCCTCACCAGGGGGAGCCTGGGAGATTCCGGTCCCACCTCTGCACCTTCCCCTTTCCTAGTCCTGCTCTGTGGACACTCAGCCCGACCCGCATCAGTGTCTCCCCCTCACCCCCATTTCCCTGTGTGAGTCCCACAGGTTATCTGTTGAGACTCTCAGGAAGTCATGGCTCCTGGGGGCGGGCAGGTGGGGGTGGAGGGGAGTGGGCAGGAGCTTGGAGTGGAGCGTTAAGACCTCCTGCCCCTGGCAGCTGAGCAGCCAGCAGCCAAGAACCAGACCCTCGAGGTCCCAAAGCATTGCTGGAAGTTCCCTGCTGTGGGGAAAGCCTGGCCCTTCTATGCCCTGCGGAAGAGCAGGAAAGGAGCCCTGGGGCATCAGCCTCGCATTATAGTTGTTATAGTTGTGGTCCGGACTGACCCTTGGGGCCCTCCTCCCCTCACCCTGAAATCCAGTGCCTCACTCAAAGACTCTCCTTAACCTGGGCACTAGACCCTTCGAGATGATCATCTTACTCACCATCTTTGCCAACTGTGTGGCCCTGGCTGTATACCTGCCAATGCCCGAGGACGACAACAACACTCTGAACCTCAGCCTGGTAAGACAGGGATCCCGTGCCTCCTGCAGGCCTGCAGCGCAGGCGGGTGGGCTGAGCGCTGGGGCTGCCGGAGCCACTGGGCAGCTTTGCAGGGCACCTGCTTATTCTGGATTCTGAGAGATCAGCCAGCCTGGAGGGAGTATCCTGAACTCACATAATCCTCCAACAAACCGGAAAATGAGCCCCATTAGATAGATGTGGAGAAAGAGGCTTGGTGAGGTCTGCTAGTGAGTAATGGTGGCAGAATGCTAATTTTGCTTTCCTGGATATAACCCAGAAGAAATTTGCTTCCACTGAGCTTCTTCCTGGGAGAGTCTGACCCAGGAATCCTAAGGCAGGCCCGGTGTAGAGCTCCACGCCACTTTCTCTTTGCCCCTTCAGCAGTCATGTGAACACACGGACATAAAATGCTGGAGGAATTTTCCAGAACCGTGTTGTCCTGTCTCCTTCCACCTCCCTCTGTTTTATGAATGAGGTCTGGTATCTAGAAAGGTTAAAGGGCTGACTTACCCAATAGCTAGATAAAACAGAAGCAGTTAACATTTATTAAATGCTTCTCAGGGGCCAAGTTCTGTGCTAAACAGTTTATATTATTGTTTGTTTGATCCCCTAACTGCCCCTGTGTGTGTGGGGGTCGCACCTTTAGACCCATGTAAAAGGCAAGGAAATGGGCTCAGAGTTGGGGTGCCTGGCCTGGCTCACCCCAGGTGCAAGTCTTGCCCAGTTCTCAAACTCAGGCCTCTCCAATGTCGGGCCCGCCCGTGGGACTGCTCTGCTGCCAGCGCGGTAGCAGCCCACGGAGCTCTGACGGGGGCCCTGCAGGAGGCTCACAGGCACTGACTGTCCTGGCTCCCGGGGACAGGGCAGTGGAACCGCCATCTCAATGGCCTTCGTCTGCACGTATCCCCAAGGGTAGGAGGGAGGAGGCCAATTAGCAGGCATCCAGGGCTTGAAAGAAGGACATTTCTCTCTGCTTCTCCTTTATGCTGTTTCCATGGGGATCTATCTTGAGCTGGTGAGAAGCTGGCATTCTGAGTGTGCTTGGCTACAAGTGCGAAAACCTCTGAGCTCCGGAGGGTGGAGGGAGAGTGGGATCCGTGTGGGCAGGGCCCCGGCAGCCAAGGCTGGCAGCAAAGGTGTCTCTCAGGGTCCTGGGCCTTCCACAAGCACTGAGGCTTAGGACTCAGGCTCCTGAATCTGGGAGGGCTCTGGGTCCACCCCGCCCCTCAGGATTTCATTTTCCGGGGCCTCTGTTCCATTTCAACTCCTTAAGAAGTTGGCTACTTTCCAAAGAAGCTCTGCCCTCCTGGGCGGTAAAACATTACACCTTAGGGGACATGTCATCTTCCATCTTGAAACAAAAGGCTGCCCTAAAAATCTCAGATAGTCTTGGGTGTTTTCCTTCATCCCATGGGCCTGACTTTCAAGGCCTAGAGCTCATAGATACAACATGGTGAGTCCCCTGGAAGAGAAAACGTGACCAGAAACCCACCTGAAGCAGTGACCGTCCCCTCAAACATCCAGTCTGGATGGACTGTCAATGGTCAGTGAGGGACCCTCATCTGACCCCTTTATGGTGAAGCCCAGAGAGTGTCAGCCATCCTCAAACTCACACAGCCAGCTTCTAGCTGAAGCCCACTTGCCAATTACATGTCCATCTCGACACAACCCAGCCAGGGGGAAATGAGAGGCGTCAGAGCAGGGGGTAGGCAAAGGGGTATTTGTTCCTCTGCCCTGTGGGCTGCTTTGTGAGTATCTGAGACAGGTCAGGGACCATCCAGTCATCCAAAGTTACCCATAGTTTCCAAGGACGGTGGCCCAGGGACCAGTTCTTCATTAACTTTCTCACTCGTTTAACAAACATTTCTTTAGTGCCTGTTATATGCCTGGCACAGACTGGTGATGTACTTGCAAACCAAATAGACATGATTTCCATCTTCACAGAGCTTAATTAATTCAATCAATTAAATACATCATTACAATTAAGCCAACTAAATGAGTAGTTAAAATGGAATGGAAAATGTGTAAGGTTTGGGGACACTATAATATTGTACTGGGGGCCTCCCAGAGGGTGGGAGTTGAACCCAGGACCTGAAGGATAAGAACAGGGCCAGCTCCATGGCATGTGACCTGTGCAGTCCCTCCCAGGCCCCACAATTGGGGTTTAAAGCCCTGTCATCATAGTACTGGAATTTTTAAAATAATTTCATCTTTGAATCCATGTTATGTAAGTGAAGGCCGCTGGGACAATGACACAAGGACCAGGAGCTTGGAGGCATGGCCGCCTGCTGCCTCCCACCACCTCCCTGCCTCAGAGGATGGACTGCTCTGTCCCCTGCCACCCCCGCACTGGGGCCCCGGGCCCCCTGCCAGCGGGGTGGATGTGGGTGTGCTCTTTAGTGTCTCAGGACAGGGCACAGCAGTGGCTGTCCCCACCCGGGGCTGACGGTACCGTAGCCCATCCGGTGGGTGCGTGCAGGGGCAGCCTCTGGCCCATCCTCCAGTTGGGTACGCCATGCCCCCTGGAGCAGGGGCTGCCACAGCTTTGGGTATTGCCTGTCCACCTTCAACGGAGGCAGAGGCCCGTGGGAAGGGGGCTGCCCAGCACCACCTCCCCCACTCTGGCCAGGGTGCAGGGTGTCTGGCTGTTGGGTGGTGGTGTGGAGGACCTGGCAGGGTGGGCAAGGGCCAGGGAGGAGGGAGGAGCGCCTGTGAGGGTGTGTACTTGCCCTGCACAGCATTAAACAGGCAATAAAAAATTGCCATCATAGTTTTAAAAAGAGACAATGGAGACAAGGCAAAAGCTTTATATTTTAGCACCTATGGTGGCGCTTATTTCCTACCGTCTGTTTCCGTTCGCACTGGGCCCACCTGTTATACAGCAAGTCCCAGATCAGAGTGAGGTTGCAGACGCTTTGGCGGGATGGGGGTTCTAGGCTGAGGGAGCCCCAGGCAAAGTGCTGCAGGCAAGAGGTGGGGATGTGAGCTCCGGATTTAGAAAAATCACTCCAGTGCGCGTAGAGCATGGGCCGGGGTGGGGCGGGGTGGGATGGGAGAGGGGTGAGGAGGCCTCCGAAGGTGTCGGGCAGACTACGCGGGAGGCTGGAACTGAGGCAGGGGCATAAGAGGGCAGCGCCGCCGAGAGCTACTCAGGACCAATGGGACATGGTGACTGATGGAGGCAGGGAGGCGAGGGGGATGGAAGAAGAAGGCAGGGATGCCACTCAGGTTTCAGAGTGGTGACAGAGCGCATGGTGTCACTTACCGAGGCAGGCAGCATGGGAAGGAACAAGCTGGGGCAGGCTGAGTGCCACAGTGAGTTCAAGTGCATGCACCCTGAGGTATGGGCGCCCGCACCCACCAGGCACCCGGGTTGGCAGGTCTGGGTGTTTGACGACAGAAGGGTCCTCCTCCAGGAGATGCCAGACTAGCTGGGTGGGAGATGGAGCGATGGGAACGGTCAGGGGGCAAAAAAGGCTTCCCACAGTGCAGAGTCGGGGGCAGCCAGCACCGCCAGTTGTGGCAGAGCAGCCCCCAGGAGCCTGGGTGCCCCTCAGGCAGCTCTCTCCTCTCCCCAGTGCCCCCTCCCGGCTTCCAGCCAAGGCACCTGGCTGGTGCTCCTCTGCCCCTGCTGCATAGAAGCGGAAACCGAGGCCCAGACAGGGCAAGGGACACTGGGAGGCCCAGGGGCTGGACGACAGCAAGGAGGGGCTCCAGGACACTGGCACGCTGGCCGGCTGCGTGGCGCCGTGGCCGAGAGGAACATGTCTCTGAGGTCAGCCCAGCTGGAGAAGCAGGCTGCAGGTTGGGAGACTGGGGCTGGCGCTGGCATATGTGCTTCTGAGCCCAGGCTCTGCCCCATCCTTGCTGCGTGATCTTGGACGTGTCATTGAACTCCTCTGGGACCTCCGTTCCCTCATTTGGAAAACGTGGTGAAGCCACTTCAGAGGAGCTCCCGGACGAGTCCTTGTCTGCTGTGGCACCTTATCTATGAACATGAGGAGGTTTTATTGTGCAGTGCCCCAGGGTGGGCTCCCAGCCACAAAGCCGCTGGCCACAGAGACCCCGGGCATTCTAGGTTCAAAGAGTATAACCCCGAACACAGGATTATGCCAGTTAAAAATTCCTCTTCACCCCACCGCCATCTGTCTGTAATTCCTCTTTAACACTCCATCTCTTTCCCTGAAACATCCAACATGCCTGAGTGGCCTCCTGGCCACCCCGCCCCCACTCCCGTCCTCCTCGTCCTTATCAACAGTATCCAGTGTTTACTGAGCACTTGCCCTGTGCCAGGAACCATCTAGAGCTTTATATGCTTTCTGTCATTGAATGCCCACAACAACCCCACGAGGCAGGGACTTTATTTTTCTCATTCTTACAGATAAGTAAACTGAGGCACAGGAAGGTTGAGTCCCCATATGCTTGCAGATGGCTATATGGGTGGGCTCATAGCTGTTGTTGGGCACCTGGGTGCCACCCCAGCCTCTGGGCAGGACTCTACTTGCCCAAGAGAGAAGCCTGTCTTGGGCCTGGGGAGCCTGTGCCTACCAGCCCTGTCCCAGAATTCTCCCAGGAGAGGGAAGGCTAGAGGCTTCAGGTCACTGGGGGTGGGGGGCACTGTCAGAGGGGCAGGGGGACAGAGTAGACACTGAGGCCAGCAGAAGGGCAGGGAGATGTCCCAGGACAGCTGGCCGCCAAGGCCAGGACCCAGGACCCAGGGCCCCAGCCCCCAGCACCCCAGCCCAGGACCAGACCCTCCAAAGGCAGCTCTGTCCCCTTTGAAGTCCCACGTGCTCCCCGATGTCTGAAGGAACCCTGGGGGACCCTAGGGAGTAGCTCCGATAGAATTAAAGGAGATTTGGGGAATACCATCATTCCAACCGTGGCCAGCCTGCGGGCCCCATGTGGACAAGCAACAGTGGTCATGGTCGCTGATTACTGGGCAGAGACTCGAAATCAACCGCTTTTGCTGCATTATCTCACTTCCTCCGCAAAGCAGT